AAGTAAACTAATTTATACCTCATACCATCTACTGAACAAACACTTTTAGTCGTTGTAATAAAAGAAGATTAATATTACCGGTAGATCTATGAACTCTCTTGTTGTTAATGTGTGACAATTTTAATGATTCCAACAAGACATTGAGCTAAGACAATGTATAATTTGTGTTCTCACTAGCTTGCAGTATGGGATATTACTTTGCAACATTTGATGAACTGAAAGCTGCTTGTAAACTTTATTATGCTTTTTACACTTGTCACTTATTCCCATTCTATATAATACAGTTTCATTGTTCAATACTGTACTTAGCTTGATATATATACCAGGTGCACTCTGCCATTCAAAATACTGACCTCTGATGTCAGAAAGATGCCTGCTTTAAAAGTAAAAATTATTGTTTATTTTTAGTGTAAAATAAAGAGGTCACTTGTACTGTTGTGTTTACTTTAGTAGAAAGAGAACATCATGTCATTCCTAACAGTAGCTGTTGTCTTCTTGTTGAGTGTCAGTGAAGTTATTAGTCAATGTCCACCTTCCTCAGGTAAGACACTGGATGTGTATAATAACAACTGTATAGGTTTTTATAGTTATCTACCTGAGGCATGATGGAAACTGTTATCCTAATGGATCATATTTTTTTGATGCTGATATTAAAGGAGCCAGTAATAGCATCATGTGTGTGTTATCTGGTTCTACTCTGAATGGTGGAGAGTGGGTTAATGTTACTAGTGGATCATCAGTTGACTGCAGTAGTAACCCTCTTCGTTGTAATGAAGTATCTACACCTAATGCTACTATCAAGCTTTACATACCTGATGGACAAAGCATATCACCATCTGATGATGGCTGGTACAAGTGTTGTCTACCCACTAATTGTTCAGATTCTAACACTAACATCATCTTTGCTAATATATTCAGTAAGTGTTCTCATTAAACTAGTACATACTGTCATTTTGTTACTTACTGTAGGATGGGTACAGATTCAAACCGTCACAGTTGACCTTCCTTCAGATATAACAGTTCTACCTCAAACATATACACTACATGCCATTAAAATTGGTAGTAATGATCACGATCCTTTTTTACATCATGCCAATTGGTACTATGAGTCTGGTAGCAGTAGTACTGAACTCTGCACTGGATCTAGGGCCTCATACAGTTGTTCATTCATGTATGGTGATGGAATGTCAGTAGATTATGGTAATGGAAGGTGGGACTATACTCTAAATGTTACTTGGAATGGAGAGACTATTACTAGTGGAGTACTGAGCCAATCAAACAACAATGGGGATCATGTCTTTAGATTCTATTTAGATTTTGGTCATATCAATCACAGCCCAGTAAAAAGAAATAGAGACATTATTGTAACAGGTAAAAGTAGCAATAAAATGACTTTATCGTTTTTTATAGCACCAGCAACTGCTCCCTCTTCTCTTACTGAGGTCAACAAGACAACTACCACTATCACTGTCAGTTGGACTGCACTTGATTCATCTGATGCTGATGGATATGTAGTCAATGTCACTAGTGACACAGACACTGGGCAGACAGTACAGGTGGAGGGAAGTAGTAATAATACAATCACACTGAATGGACTGAGAAGAGAAACAAATTACAGCATCACAGTCAGAGCCTATCAACAATTACTGGGACCTGCTAGTACAATCAGTGTACAGACCTTACCAAGTATTGCTACTGCTTTTTTGTATATTTTATATGTTTCTAGTTGAAATAGATTTAGTATCCAGTATCATGGACATTACATGGGCTATTATCTCATGGAGTGTACCTAGTTATATTCCATCAGACTATCCCATTATCACATATGAGATAGGATATCATATCTTAGAGTATGGTAACTGTTCAATGGTAGATGATGATGACATTGATATTCAAATGCTACAGTTCTCTAATTCAACCAATGGCAATTCATTTATTAACATTACTGGTCTTAATGATAGTACTTGTTATATTTTTGGTGTACGTGCATACACTGATA